GCCACTTACAGATGCACTGTTATGCAGTTTTGGCTGGTTTGATACATTGCTCCATAGAAACTGACTTTTAACTAATCATATGTGCAGACATCCAGAAACATTCCTGAAAGGATTTTGGCTCTTTGATTTCAATCAAATATTCCCTTCAAATTAATATTTCTCTTTTCCACTCCACTCATCCGGTGCTCTAAATGTTAGGCTATATATGTTTCCTAAAGGGGCTGAGGCATTAAATGTATTCACATGCTCCTAAAGCTATTTCTGAGAAACGCTGATTGTAAAGAGGAGCTTCTTTGTCTCAATCTCATTATATACACATACATTTATGTACATGTAAGAGAAATAACCCTGCAGACTCCAAGATCAGAAAAGAAGGAAGGGGAGGCACTGGAGCAGAGATACCCCTGCAGCACATGGTGCAGACTGTGGCGAAGCAGGTTATCCTCCTGCAGCCCATAGAGGACCACCCTGGAGCAGATAGTTATCCACACTGTAGCCTATGGAGAACCTCACAGGTTATCCAACACCATTCTTCAGCTTCTCTCATATTTTCCCAGCTTGCAGCCATACATGGATAACTATAAGCTACCAAACCTCTGCTTTCACCACCACACATTTTCAATTACTTTCTAGCTAATAACAGTGAAGCTAAGGAGGATTCAAAGCAGGTTTGCCTTTGGTTTCATTGTCATGAAGTTTCCTTCAATAGTTTTCTCCTACTTCCAGCAGCTACTAATAACTATGGCAGCTGCATAGATACCTAACATGCCATTACAGAGAATCGGCACCTTGCTGCTCTACTGCAGTTACCCAGTTGTTTTTTTCACTCTGGCAGAAGGGTGATTAAAACTCCCTTCAGCTTTTGCCCTGTAGAAGACATGTCTTCCCACCAGTACCACTAGTCTATAGGTGTGATATCCCAAACTCTGCTCTCTTGATTTCCGTTTCTGGCACTGACTCCCACAGGAGTTTCCCTCTGCCTTAGGATGTTTGTTCACTCAGTCAGCCAAAAAGTTTACAAGACTTGAGACACTGTAGAAACAATAGATCCTAAAGTAATGGGGTATGCTGCAAAGGAGATCAAATTTCTTTCTTTATACTAAAAATGCCTAAATCTCAGCTCTGACCTAGCAGTTCACATGACCCCATCAGGAGTGAAGCCAATAACCAGAAAAGTTAAAGGGCTCTGTCTTCACGGGAAGAGTTGGAGGGTTGTGGTCTCCACACCTTCACGTTAGCTGTCAGCATGCACATACAACTCCCAGCTTTTAACTGAGTTATTGCAAGAGTTCTGTCAGTTTGCAAAGGAGACCAACAACACTGTTAAGACAACTAATTCTGCATGTTTATGTTATCAGCATCAGAAAGCATATGTGTCTCAAAACTTTAAGTCCAAAGATTAAATGAAAGATTAAGCTCTAACAGTACAAATCAGTACAAATGCTTCACAAAAGATCATGTTTAGACAACATCAGCCAGTCAGTAATTGATCTGTGATAATTTTCTATCCAGCGCAAGTTTACTGCCCACCTGCTCTTTTCAGACACAGAAAGCTGCTGTGATGCTAAAGGAGGACATCTTATTAAGATGAGTAATCACAGCCTGCTGGAAATGTGCTCCTGAACAAATCACCACCAGCTGGCACTCATGGGACTGCATCAGTAGCATACCCTGTATTGCAGATATGATGCATCCCAGGATTTTTCCAAGAAACTTATCCTCAGACACAGATGTTTTTTGAGGGCTTTGTTCAGCTTTGGGAATCTTCTAAGATTCCCTCAGCTTTCTCTTAAGAGTTGCTATTTAGCAAGCAATACAAAAAGTAAATATGCTTCATCAAGTTAACTCACAAATACAGACTCATCAGTCTGTAAATAGAAGACATCCACCCAAAGTAACTGATGATATAACTCTGATTGCCTCCTATAGTATTACCCAGGTATTCACACATCTTCATAGCTTTATTTCCAGGAATTACTTCATACCATTACAGGAATTTTCAGTTTCTGATGATATAAGTCTATTCTCCCACATTCTGTCATCTTTTTCAAGCAGCACTGCTGGGAAACATAAGAAATACTGATATATTACATTCTTATAAGCATTCTTACAGGCAAAAAAGCCTATATAATTTTTGTATTCATAAATGAACAATTAATACTAAGATTTTTATGTGTTCAGGTAGGCTGGACAGCTCAGATTTCTAGCACTAATAATATGTCACACTTAGGCACCAAAAATTACCAAGCAATTTACAAAAAAGGATCTGTTGTAACTAAAGTATCTCACTGACATCAATTTTAGTGGTTGCCAGAAGTTTTTAATTCTCAGATGAAGCAATCTGCAGGAATCTGTGCAAAATCCAGACATCTTCTCATGAAATTACTAAACTACTCAATTTTGACTTTATCAGTACAACCTTTCAGTTACCTATAGGATTGTCAAAAGGGTGTGGTGGTTCATCAGAGCAAGGTTTGCAGAATATTTGGATTTGTGAAGAGTTCCACAATGTTGATTTTTCATCTTAAGGGGGGGGGGGGAATTTCTGTAATTTCAGCATTTCTGAAATAGGGCTTTCACTATTCTACTGACTTGACATTTCTCAGAAAGTGCAGTCTCATGTACAGCTCAGCCACTGTGCTGTAGTATACATTGGGTCTAAAATATGTATGTATTTTAAAAGTATTTGAGAAATGCCATTGGTCCTGTAAGATATATTCATAATATTCTTGGTCAAAATTAACAATATTTCTATAAGCAGCTATGTGACACTGCATATTAAAGGCTAGAAAGAATAACATTATATGGGATCTTCTTTCTGAGAGTGGTAGTAATGGCTTAGTTACAAAACCATTGAATAGGCAGTAGGATAAATTTTGTGGTGCTGCAATTCATTTTAGTCCCTCTACATTGTACTGATTCAATAAAGCATTACAGCCTGTGGGCATGAATGTGAATTCTGTTCAAAATCAAGCAGAAGCTTAGACCCTTTAGGATCCCAAAAGGCCTGAATTCAGGAATAAACAAAATATGGCTATGAATCCTACTTCTCGGTAACGTCCCTGGAGCCGACAGGTTAAATTCACACTCCATGAAATAAGGCAGCGGAGGGAGGTCTGTCTTTCTAACAGAGACATTTGGAAAAACTGTGCAGATGGAATCTGATAGTGCCCACCTGCTACCTTTCCAGCCCTCCAAGTATAAGCAGCCATGTGATCAGAGAGCTGGGAGGCAATATAGCAAAGAAATTAATTACAGACTGATTACATATTGCATCAATTTTACGCCTTCTCACCGTATCACCAGGAGACATGGACACACATCAGCAGATCTCAGTTCCAGCATACATGCTTTTCTGGTAACAGCTACCATGATGCTATATTACACTAGGAATATTTTTCTTCTCTCTGCTATCTCTTTTTGCTTTTATAGTTCAAATAAGAGTACAGAAGCACTTGAAGCTGACCTAAAAAGATGGGGTTAATTAAAATCCTGCAGATAGTGAATGTCAGAAGAATGGGCCAAGGATCTGCATTCATCATAGTGGAGCCACTGCATACATTTCCATAACAGTAAGTGATGAATAATAAAACATACGAGTTTTATGTTTTTATCATGTCATCATCTCTGATTTACTATACCTCTTAGTATATTTTTTTTTACTTCCTTGTCCACAGTGCTCCTTCCTTCATTATTTAGTTTGAATAATAAGCCTTTCTCCACCTTTGGGAGTTTTATTTATACTTTTTTCCCTTCCTGATGCAAAATAGGAATATGCATTAAGAAGCCATCCCAGAGGTGATTAGAGTCATTCATACGTAAAGTAAATGGGTGATATCTGGGGACAACTACTAAGAGCTACTATATCACTGTTCTTTTTTGCCACCATTGTGCCCCCCCCACAAAAAAAAAGAAAGAAAAAAAAGACAAAAAAGAAAAGACAAAAAAAAACAAAAAAAAAAGAGTTCTCTTTGGTCAAAGCCTTGGAAAGTTGTTCTCTTCAGGGAATGGTAGTATTTTATTGTTTACCAGGCAGATGGGCAATCCTCAGGACAACCTGATCCTGTATCTGCTGACTGCTAGCAGAAGTGTTATTAAGACCGATCCTTCCACGCTGAACCCAAAGAGAATGTTCACCTTTAATTTCGAAGCAAACAAGACCAAGATTTATACAGGAATTTATTATCTTTGTTTTACAAATGAAGACCAGAATAGGACACAGTTGCCTAGCTGTCTTTTGGACCAAATTTTACATTCTGCCCTTAACCACTGCATGCGAGATGGCAATTGAGGGGAAGCTTAACTGTTCCCTAACCAGAGGGGCATCCAAATTTCCTTCAGCAAGAGATTTCCTCTTTTCAGTTTGTGAGTCCCAAGACAATTTTCAGTGAATACTTCATAATCATGACTGTGTGACTGTATGGCCACTGTCAACTTGCTTTAAGACTCTGAGAATAATGCAGGGATTCCCCAAGGGTCTGCAGCACAGCATCTGAAAACATCAGCATTGGGTGTTTAATTTTCTAACAGAAAAATGCTTTTGTTGCCTGACTGTCCCTAGCTAGGATCATCTAACTGTCAATAATATTGAATTATTTAATTCCCAGCCCTTACACCTGCTTATCTCTTAGCAGGATTCAGAGCATCAATACTCCTCCATCAGCTCCACATACAGAGCTATTTCCAATACAGTTTGTTTGGAGTATACCTACTTCAGCACGTCCGAGCTGATTAAAATAAACATTTAAATATTTTGAATTAGACCAAAGCTATTAGCTTTAGACATAGCCTTATCCTAGATCCCACCTTAGTCTTTGCTAACTTACTCTCTTATTTTAGAATCATAGAATAGTTAGGGTTGGAAAGGACCTTAAGATCATCAAGTTCCAACCCCCCTGCCATGGGCAGGGACACCTCATACTAAACCATCTGACCCAAGGCTTCATAATTTTATTCTAAATACATTAAGATACTAATGTTGTGAACTGATGAACAAGATATATTTGCCAAATGTGACTAATTTATTTTAAATGAATTTTAAGCTTGTAGTTTTGACAGCCTTCAACAAAAGACTAAACAATTACAACAGCTGCCTATTATCACAATAGCTGGGACCAGAGACCAAAGAAATTAAAACAAGTGTAAAGAGTAACAACTAATGCAGATTTTTATGGGGGACACATCATTTGGACATTAAGAATTCATTTGATAAATAATTTTATCTTCCCAAATGTATTTTTTGCTCAACCTTTTTAAAAGGGACTCTTTAGACTTGTGCAAAAAAGGTATTTTTCTTTTTCAGCATTTAAAAAGTGGGATAAAAAGAGCTAAGAACTAAATCCTTTGCTGAAATGTCCTGTTTGATTTATTTGACCTGCTTTGTTTTACGTTTGTTTAAAAACAAAGCACCCTGAAATGTTGTCAATTAGGGATGACCTGAATTACATGTTCCTGCACACACCCACTTTTATAACTCAAACTGAACTCAGAAAAAAAAAAAACACAACAAAAACACCCAACCAATTACTTGCACAGACATGTTACAGCCCTGAAAAAGCCAGAAGCCTCAGCTCCCACTGAGAGGAAGATAAAAGGCAGACAGCAACACGGCCTGCATTGTCAATTAAATGGGAGAGAAAAGGGAGGGGAAAGCCCCACTCCACATATGAATGGGGGATAAACTGTTTCTCCAGCTCCTGCTGGCTGGCTGGATCCTGAGCTTGATCTGGTACATGTGTCTCCCCTCTATGATCCAGTTCCTCTCCCCTGTACAGCTTCCATTTCAACTGGTCAGGATGTGGGGCCAGAGGATAAAAAGATTACCATCCAGCTTTCCTTAATGTAGAGCAAATAAGGAAGAGCCTGTCTTTGCCTTTCAACATGCTTAGCCTGCGAAAAAGTGAAATTGGTTAAAAAAAATCACCAGAAGAGATCTATAAGAGTTTGCATTTTTTTTCTTTTTGTTTATCTTAAATGAAAATATAAGCAGAAAATTGAGAATAATATGCCAGAAATTAACTTTCTTCCCCCTGTTCAAAGGGCAAAATTCTCATTGGGATTGGAATTTCACCCCAGATGGCTTGGCTGAGCAATGTATGACAGCAGTGTGAACCTCACTGTATGTGACTTGACATCTTGACATTTAGCACACTCAGAAGATGTTATTAAAAGAGACATAGGTACTGTAAAGATGAGCCTTAAAATTACTAATACACCTATTTTTTTGTCACTGTTTTCCTGGACTATCTGGCAGTGTGGAAGGCAGCTCAGGCTGTATGCAAAATACATAAATTCACACAGTACTGTACCCTCACTAACAAGATTTGCCCCCTTCCAGGCATTTCTGCAATGCACCTTGCCCAATCCATCCCCTTTTAAAAAAAATGCTTTGGGGAAATGAAGCCTATTATAGGAGTTAGGAGAGCTCAGAAAAATCATTTAATAGGGCAAATCTGCACTTCATGAAGGCTTCTCTATGCTCTGATAGTGATGAAGCTGAACCAGACTGGTCATCAGGAATGAACAGCAATGAGAAATTAATCTAAAGCAAAGACGGTAATACAGGACCAGTGAGGAACAAAACCCCTTACAGAATGACACCCACTCCTACAGTGCATACCTTCTCTGCACAATATGCTTTCTGGAAGTGATAGTACACCTCAAATGGTATACTTGCCTTAGTTCAGTTCAGGACTGTGCTTCTAATGGCAAATGTCTTGATATCCCCTATCTACCTTGTTTATGCTTTCACCACAGAGGGAGTTTGGAGATGAAATTCTTAATTTAAAATGAAATGAATTTGAATATAATTCTTTCTGGATGAAACTGAACAAGAATGGATACTCCAGAGAAGCACCTGAGTCAAACACATTATTATTCAGCTCTCAGAAATATAATTTCAGTGCTCACAACCAGATAAGAATTAGTCCAAAGTAAATACTCTTGAAATGCAATCAGTGTGAACATGGGGTCTCATGGTATGTCACCGTACAGACCTTGCTCCCTTTGGACCACAGTTCTGGCTAATGTCAATATGTCAGCTAGTGCATCAAGGGAACCAGAGAGCCCTAGAGTCCTTCAGGTGCAAGTGTCTGAGCCATCTTGCAATCAGATTTCAAAGCATTGAATATTCATTACAATGAATCCAATCAACCCTTATTGTATACAGAAGTGTAATTGCAAAGTATCCTACAGGCAATTTCTGAAAGTAATTTTTATTGTAATTTCCAATACAGCTGCAAATAGAAATTTGCTCTAATGTTTTCATAGCAGTCTCCCATTTGAGCTGTTATCACGAAATACGTTTTCTGTCATGAAGTATTGAGGACAGCACAGCAGAGTTGGGATGGGCAATTGTCCTGGGTTTAGCAGTAGCAGTTATTTTTCTCCTTGGTAGCTGGTGCAGTGCTGTGTTTTGACTTTTGGCCTGGGAACAGAGCTGATAACAATGATGTTTTGTTTTGGCCAAGGACTTTGTAAGCCTCATGCTCTGCCAGGGAGGAGGGGAAGCAGGGAGGAAGCAGAGACAGGACACCTAACCCAAACTGACCAAAGAGGTATTCCATACCACAGCACGTCATGCACAGGATGTAACTGGGAGTTACCCAGAAGGACACGGGGTCTTCTGGGTTGCACTCGTTTTTGGGCAGGTGGTATCATATTCTCTTCCCTTGCTATTTTCTCTTATCATTGTTGTAATCGGGGGTAGCAGTGGTGATTTGTGTTGTACATTGGTTTCTGGACTGCTCTTGTCTCAAGCCATGGGAGTTGCATTCTTTCGATTCTCCTCCCCCTCCCTCTGGGAGCAGGGAAGGGGGGGAGCCCCGGGGGGGATGCGGGCCTCGACTGCTTCCAGCCCAGCACCACTCACTGGGAGTGAGTGCACAAGCTGTCTGGCTGGGTTTATCCACAACAGCAGTATAAAATTATTTAGGAAATGGATCCTATTAACAAGCAGTTGACATGGTACAAATTAGGAGAAAGGGTGACAAGATTATCTTACAAGAAAGGATGCAGAGGAACATGGATTACTTCTAATGAGATTTATTCACTATTGTGCTGTTTGGTTTCGTTTCTAATACTGAGTTGAGACTTAAAAGACCATTAAAAGTAAGACAATGCATTTTAATTATAGAGACTTTTTCCTTTTTCCTGGGGTTCTGTAGAACTTAGGGAGACACCAGAGGAAGTTATCCAAAGATTGCTATGTACAACACTCGTATCTAAACACTCTGCACTTGAAAACATACAGTTACTTATGGAATAATCAGATTAATTATTGTCAGCTCTCAGAAACATAATTTTTTAAGGCATTCCTAACAATATCCTTTTGCTTTCTAATGTGATTCATGGAGGATGCCAGTTTAGACTACAGCTGGCAACATAATTAGCTGATTTAGCAGAGTGACTCTGGAGTGTCCACTGATCTGATGCATGTGATCTAAATGAAATGTTCTGTCCCTCCAAACAGGGATGCTTCTCAAGCACATGCCTAAATCAAAAACCATGTGGTCGCACTGTGACAACGTTCCAGGGATGCTCCAATGGTTACAAGATGCACCTTGCACCTAGCACCAGCAAAACATTAGGCTTCGTGTGAGAAGTTCAGTACAAATTCTTCTGAAGCACAAGACAGTCTACAGAAAAGGCATAAAAAAGCCTTACAGGACAAAATTATATCATTTCTGGAACAGCCTTATAAATACTTGGGCCAAAGAGCATGGCATTGAGTGGGTATATCACATCCCCTACCATGCACCAGCCTCTGGGAAAATTGAATGGTACAATGGGCTGTTAAAAACTACACTGAGAGCAATGGGTGGTGGGACTTTCAAATGTTGGGATACACATTTACCAAAGGCCACCTGTTTGGTCAACACCAGAGGATCTGCCAACAGGGCTGGCCCAGCCCAGTCAGAACTTTTACATACTGTAGAAGGGGACAAAGTTCCTGTGGTGCACATAAAGAATTTGCTGGGGAAGACAGTCTGGGTTATTCCTGCTTAAGATAGAGGCAAACCCACTCGTGGGATTGCTTTTGCTCAGGGACCTGGATATACTTGGTGGGTACTGTGGGAAAATGGGGAATTCCGATGTGTACCTGACGGGGATTTGATTTTAGGGAAAAACAGCCAATGAACTCAACTGTATGCTGTTGCCAGCTATGTAGCACTTTTACAGCCCACCAACTAGATGTCTTCAGGTCACCAGCGACTGGCCCTGAGTTCCGTCTGATGATCATCCCAACAAAGAATGAACTTTGATGAAACCAGATGAGCTCAGCAGTGACCAGATGAGTTCTGTGTGTCATCAGAAGGACTGTCACAAGAGATGGAGCCCGACATCATGGACTGGATGAATTGAGCAGCTTTATAGGGATTGGTCCATGGACAAAAGAATGATCTCTCTCTTTGTGTGGGTGTGGCGGGGTGCAAAAAAAAAATAATAAATATATATACATGAGACAAGAGTGATGGTATATTGAAAAATGTGGATCTGAGCAGGACATGAATGGTATGGAATAAGGGGTGGATACTGTCCTGGGTTCAGCAGTAGCAGTCATTTTTCTCCTTCTCAGGAGCTGGTGCAGCGCTGTGGTTTTGACTTTCAGCCTGGGAACAGCGCTGATAACACCGATGCTTTTAGTTGTTGCTCAGTAATGTTTACTCTGGCCAAGGACTTTCTGAGTCTCATGCCCTGCCAGGGAGGAGGGGAAGCCGGGGGGAAGCAGAGACAGGACACCTGACCCAAACTAGCCAAAGTCGTATCCCATACCCCAGCACGTCATGCCCACTATATAAACTGGGGGCAGTTACCCAGAAGGCCCACATCGCTGCTCAGGTTGGGCTGGGTATTGGTCAGCAGGTGGTGAATGGTTGTATTCTCTTGCCTTGTTATTTCCCTTATCATTACTATTATTGGTGGTAGCAGTAGTGGTTTGTGTTATACCTTAGTTACTGCACTGCTCTTATCTCAACCCGGGGGAGTTACATTCTTTTGATTCTCTTCCTCATCCCTCCAGCAGCAGGGGAAGGAACAAGCCGGAGGGAGTGAGCAAGTGGCTGTGTGGTTCTGTGTTACCAGCTGGGCTTAAACCACAACAACTATCACACTGTATTTTAACGAAGAGTCAGAATCCTCAATGGGAACAAGTAAACCATAAAAATGTTACTGCAAATTTCATAAAGAGAAGTATTTTCCCTCGTTTCACAGGCACATTTCACCTATGAAATCGAATGCTACTGAACCAACCAAACTTTCCAAATAAATTCTTTAAGCTGATTTTTGTTTTAATTGAGATAATAATTTTATTTTTATAGTAAAATTAAACCAGTCATGTATTACGCCCTCCCCCCTCAAATAGGAAATTGGTTCCCTGGAAATGATGAAAAAGAATTTTCTACAAAATCCAATCCCATTTGATAGGTTTGTTGGAAAAATTCATGCTGGCTATTATGAAGACTACTATTTTTGTACCTGCCTTCTCTTGCTCCATCAGGGATAGTGAATAAATGACCTGAATAACATCTCATAGTCCACTAAGAGTAGCAAGAGGTATTGATTTTAAAATAGAAAATTAAACTGTTGTAAATATTTTCACTGCAGATAAAGCCTCTGCTTTATTATTAACAGTCCTGGGGAAACGCAGTCAAGGTTTTTCTGGTAATACACAATCCTACTTACTGATATTTGGAAATTACTATAGGCTTCTCCTCTGGGATATTCATTTATTTCTACTGTTAATGTGAAAAAAATGCATGTTTATGTATCAGTCCACATGGTAAGTAACCAGTGTTTAGTCAACAGTCACTAATTAATGTTCACAACATTTCTGTGAGTTTTTGTTTATCTCATTTTTTTGTCAAAAATGAATCCAAGATAGAAAAAAAAAAGAAATTAATGGATCAAGACTTCAGCAGATTCAGTAGTAAAGCTACAACTCTAAGCTGCAGCTTCCTGATACTCATGGCTATATACATTTTTCCACATCCCCGAGAGAGAGCTAGTATTTATTACCTTCCTCCATGCCAAGGAGGACCCAAGGAGGACCTAAAAAATAGATGTTTTCCATGTTGGTTTGGAAAAACTAAGCATTTTTCCTCCTTTTTTACTACTTAGCTATAACAGTTTAACTTCACTTATTGTTCTACACAAGTATATATGAAGGCTAACTCGCCATATCCTTTGACAGAGCCATTTTTTGACTAAATTTCAAGTATAATGGTCTTTGGCTGAAGAATGATAAGGGTCTAAATCAGGGTCTGACCTATTTTCTGGCAGCACTACATGTTCACATTCTGCAAAATTATTCAAGAATAGCCTCCTGGAAGCACAAGAACAGTCCATCTTCCATTCCCACTACAAAGGAAAATGAAAAAGCCAGAGCAACCTGGGCTGTTGTATGATATTATGACAATCAGGATCCCATTGCAACGTTAAGAGAAAAACTGAACACGGAGGTTGAACCTGTAAAGAGATGAACCATCTGAAATTATTATTGACATCAAATGGCAAAAAAAGAGAAAACATAAAATCAGAAGTACTGGTAAACCCTTGAAAATGTTTCAAAAGCTTGGAAGTAATCTTGAAATTCATTTGCATGGATTACACAGTGAAGAAGTTCCCAAAATGGAATAAAGGGCACCATGCTGTAAAATAATGAAAAAGATTAGGAACACAAGCAGAATAGAGAAAAGATTTAATAAACAGGAAAGGGCAGCAGAAACCAGAGCTAAAAACAGCCAGCTCACATGATGAGCCGCAAACTATTTGACAAGGAATTGATACTGATGCTATACTCAGGACTTTGCTTGCACTCAGTCCCTGCCTTGCCCAGAGGAATTTATTTTGTAGTTATGGGCTTATTGCTCTTAAAACCAATGAAACAATGTACATCTACATTGCACTTTATGACTTACAGCAAAAGATCTTGTCACAGTTGTCTCACAGGTGACAGGAGACATCCTTATGTGTGCATGAGTAACTGCACTGAAAATGTCCTTATGTCTACAGCAATGAGGAGCACTTAGTACGGCTGAAGGGGTTTGGGCAGAAGGTCTTGGGAGGAAGGGAGCAAAAGAAGTCATTCCTGAAAGAGCTTGGAGGGAAGGCAAAATACTGAGAATGGCACAACGACTTAAAGCGCAACAGGGACAATTTACTGATGGATTAGTAAGTGTTAGGCTTCAGTGAAAGCCACAGAAAACTTTCAAAATCTCTACAAAAGGGGCCTGTTTTAAAGAGGCCATCATTTCTGAAAGGAAAAATAATAGACTAATGGGTCTAAACCCAGCAGTTCTGGAGGTGAGTCCCCACAGAAAAGAAAGGGAAAGCAATCATGTCAGAGGAAAGAGAACTTGTAAGGGAAGAATATTCTGCTGGGTAACAGGAAGCCAATTGTGGACTAATGCACATCTCTCATTGCTGTCACTAATTTAAATAGGCTGAATATTCAATCGCTATTATTATGTTATCTTTTTAGCTGAAGGTCAAACACATGGACATTGAAACCTTACAATTTCTCCTGTACATGTTAAAAATGTATGCCCCTACATTTGGTATGTAATATTGCACTTTGTAACTAGAATGTTTATTAGTAACTAGAATTAAAGGATATATCTGAGCAGAAGAAAGCAGCAAATGCTTTGGGTAGCTGGCCTCCATCCAACAAGTAGGGATACATTTCAGCAAGGTAAGGAATGTCATGGTCCCTCTCATAGAGATTACCAGGATGGACATACACATATGATGCATTGTGCCAGGGCTGGGGTCACCTGTGAGCAGTTCTTTTTATTGTGGCTCCTTTGATTGTTTCTCATATAACAGAAGTCTCTACAGGGCTCTTTCTTTATATGCACTCTATGATGCACACTTAAAAAAATAAATCACAAATTAACGTTATTAGCAGAAATCCTCTTCATAATTCTGTAACTCCTAAACAAGGAGTATCTCTGTTCTGTAAGTTTATTAAATAATCATACAATAATCTAGGTTTGAAGGAATTTAGGTCATCTAGGCAGACCTCCCAGAGCAGGGCCAGTTTCCAGTTTAATGAGCTTGCTCAAGGCTGTGTCCAAGAAAGTCTCAAGAATCTCCAAGGATGGCAACTCACCAACTATCCTAGGTAACTATTTCAGTGTTTCCCATTGTCATTGAACAGAAATATTTGCTTTATATCTATCCAGAAAATGTAATGTTTTAATCGCTATACTGAAGGTAAAAATTGCCAAGTATGGTCTTTTCAGCATGCCAAATAAATATATTTAAATAGACAAATGTCCAGCTCTTTGCTTTAACTTGCAGTGTAACCTGGAATGCAATAATGCATTTTTAATAGCATATGTCTTGCAGAAAAAAATAAATCAAGGACTTTCATTCAGGATTTCCAAGTTACTACTCTCCCAATTTGAATAATGGGAACAGAGACAGCTGTTCACAGATAGACTGTTCATAGATAGCTGTTCATAGATAGACAGATCACAGCTTTCCATCCTGCTTTTTAAAATAATGATGATGGTGACGATGATGATGGTAATAATAATCTATCTTTGGTTCCTTCCAAAAGGGGGATTTTGATGCACCCTTTTGCAGCTCTGTCTCCTAGACAGGACATATTGTATGCTTCAACAGCACTCACCAGAATTTCAGATAATGTGTTAGAAGTTATAGTAGTTATTTTTATATGTATCCTAGTGTCTTAAAAGACACAGATATGCTATTGACTATGCAGCACAGAACAGCACAAGGTTTTCTGTCAAATTTAAGCAATAACACAGAACCCTCATGGACATGGACTGGTCGAGGAGGAAGAGAGGATGTTACAGGACCTCATGTCTTAATCTCTGACTTCTGTCCCAGCACTGGGCTATCCAAAACACAGTCCCAGGTGCACTAGGCAGAGACCTGCTGCACGGACCTGAGAACTGCAGAATTGTGAGACTCCTCATCCCAGAAGCATGAAGAGAAACAGGTCCCCCACTACACACTGGGATCACCTTGCCCTTCTCCCCTACCACCCAGACTGGGGCTGCAGTAACCTCAGAGTCAAGTGTCACCGGTGGACAACAAAAAAGATGAAAGGACAGAGAAGAGGCAACAGTCATTGGAGACCCAAGCAGCACACAGAAATGTCCTTCTCTGTGTGACTGGTTTTACCTAAGCGAAGTATCCAGGCCTGTGTCATGACAATATTTAGAGCAAGTCAATGCACATAATGCCATTGTGCCTTTTGTAGTCAAAAACTGTGAGTGATTTAGCAATTGCCAAGCAAGCTGAGAGCACTGGGATAAAGTAACAGTTTTTTTTGTAACTATAGATGTTTCCGGATTTTATTTCTCTTTGGAAAGAATGTACCTCTAAGAAAACACTGATTTGTAAAAATGCCAGTGGCAGTAAAACCATCACAACCTTTGAGAAATAATAGAGATGATTAGTTACCTCCATGGTTAAAAATGTAAACTATACTTAGAGGCTGAAATAATCTTTCACTTTCTGGTCTTTACCTTTTTTTTTTTTTACACCTGGGTCTGTTAAAATGAAGGTCCCACTATCAAACTTTGGCTTCTTATGCAAAACTACCCTGAAGCCATTTTTCTTCCTCCTCAGGGAACTCAATGGATTAGTCGACCTTATTTTCTTAATAAGTCGGTCCTGTCCTTCCAGCTGTTGATGTTTTCACCACTTCACATTTCTTCAAGGACATTTACATAATAGTTCTCTTGAACTGTGCTTATTACTCCAGCAGCTGAAGCAGGGCACACCATGGTAACAGGACCACAATTACTTCTGAGATCTCTGACAGCACTACAGAAGTCATTGCTAGATGAATGGGATGAACACATTTACTGACAATCTCAGGGAGAAAAATGGAAAATTATTGTATAAACACACATAATAGTCTTCTACCTTAAATTCAAAACCATCTAGGACAAAACAATAACTGAATCAAACATTTGTATTTTCCTTCACTATTAAGGATATATGTGCATATAAAAATGTAATATGGTTTCATCCCATGAAAAGAATGATGCAATACAGATCTAGGGATATAAAAGTGTAAAAGCAGAAATTTTCAGCCTTAAACAGTATTCTTTCTTCCTCTATTTTATCTACCTTATATAAATGCTGCTCTGAAAAACACTACAGAATGAATCAGTGCACCACTGCAGTAATGGGAGCAGGACTGGCACCTGAATGCCTAATTTTGAAAAATACAAATTGCTCCTAACTCTCCTGAATGGTGTAATACCTCCACCCAAGGCTACAAGGATCCTGGATTGCTCCCGTTGCTATCACTTGGATGCATGTCACTCCCGTGGCTTCCATGCTGCAGAGTTTCCAAAGTATCTGCAGGAGGTTTCAAGCGAACTCCAATTTCCAAAGCAATACCCAGGGGGAAGCACTGAGTTTCATTTGGGTTTGTTTTAAAGCAAAGACCTTCAGGCATGAACCTCAGAGCTTCCCAAACCTGAGTGAAGCTTTCAGAAAAACTGACGGGAGTCAGTAATAAAAGCTTTCGGTTTCAGAAACTACTGTAAGCAGTTCACATCAGTATCACAATGTTCTAACCTCAAAGTAAAATAGTGTGATCTTTGTTATAAATGCAGAGTAAACTTATGAAAAAATGTCTGCTAACTGTAGCTGGTTGGAACCATCACATATGATCTCATAATTCAGTCATTCCAGGAGTCAACAAATGACTTTTAAAAACTCTGCTGAGAAACCAGTGGAGCTGCTTGCTGAGAATGACAATTCATCATTTCCAGTTCAATAAGATGAAGGAAACAAACACAGGAAACCTGTGAAAGGTAAGTGTAGAATTTACCTCAGGACGTTCAGCAGCTAGCTTTTAAAGTATGCTGTTGCCAAAATCCTTCTAAGCCAGAACTCTGAAGAGATCAGCTCTGCAAGCTCTGGCCAAGAAGGTCGCTGCTTCCACTTCCTAGTGGGGATCAAATCAAGCCCTGAGAGCTTGTAACTGTGCTCATCAACTGCAGTGAAGGAACTGCAGTGTAGCCAAGTCTCTGCTCCTTGCAGGATGTTAATGCTCGCCCACAGACTCCCGTTGGGGCTGTGTTTCCAGCTCTTCTGCAGAGCACAGAAACACAGCTTCACTCATGCTAAGCAAATAATACACACTCTCTGCTCAGGCCTTGCCTCTTTGTACTAATATCTGCAGCCTGAAGGACTGAGAGGAAGCTTATCCATGGTGTACAATGCTTCAGCTTGAAAGTTGGCGCCCTAATGTGCAGAGGATTTATGGCATGACTGTGCATAACAGAATCAGATTGTTATACCAAGAAATTGGACCCAATCTTGTCCTGCCAAAGCTAGTGGTAATTTTCCCAATTAATACATTGGGAGCAGTCCTCAGGAAGTATATTGAAATGTAGTTTTCAATTAGCCTCTGCAGGGCTGCGGTTTTACAACATAGCAACTATTCAAATCTCATTTCATTGTAAAAATTATAGTTTTAAGCTTTGTCATGGGTTTTGGCATTTGATAAATTCATGACACATTTCACTACATGCTCCTTCTCAGGTGTTAATGTGCAAAATCACACAAATGCAACAAAATACAATAAAGCGTCTGACTTAAGATATTGATTAGGTGATTAAACTGTCACACAAGATTTGTTTGTCATTTGTAAATTAGTAGCTCAATCCTCACAATTTATAAGCAGAGCAAATAATAAAACAAAAGGTTTGGTTCACTATAAAAACCACTAAGCTTTTGTACAAGGCCAAAGCAGTCATGGAAAATCGATTTTCCACAGCTTACTTAGTCTTGAAAAGGCTTTGCTTTGTAGAAGACTTTCATTGAGTGAAGCCAAAACTCACTATAGCTAAGACCTTTAGGAACAATGTGTGTTGTTTGTCCATTATTTTTAAAGTCATCAACATCACAGTTTAATCTCCTGTATTGAAGTAGGAAGAGCGCAAAGATAGATTTGCATTTTATTACCAGGGTAAAAGAGGGTGACTATGGTAGATCTTTGGTAAAATGTGGACTGTGGGAGAAGGCAAATTATTATTTATTTTTTTCACAGGATAAGCTGTGGGTAAAGAGCAGGTTTAAGGTAATTTGGAGCTGGGTTTTTTGTACAACATACAATTATGCTGTATGGAACTCTTTATCATCAAATCTAAGGACAATTGACACATAAACAGTCCTAGACAAATTTGGGGAACAGGAAACTAGAAGCAGCATTCAAAGTGTTGCTTGAAGAAACCTCTCAGCCAGTGACCATCATAATATAGGAAGCCCTGAGCAACCTGGTCTCTTCTAGTCTGGCCTTCGTGTGCACAGCAGGTTGGACCAGAGTCCTCCTGAGGTGCCTTCCAACCTGAACTGTGCTACATCCCCCTGTACATGCTCTTTTCTTACACTGTTAACATCCTAGCTGGTATCAGAAGCAAGTTAAAGGACTACAGGGACGGAAGTTTATACACTCTGTTGGTAGACAAAAGTTTGTCATCTTGATCCAAAATATGTTAAAGTTTCCAGTAGCTTCTCTGGTTATTGAATTGGTTTAGTTAATTTTACCAGGATTATCATGAAGACATTGTTCTAGACACACTTGAATAATAATAGTGGTGGGGCCGGCCAACCTGTATTTTACAAGTTATGATCCACACAAAAAACATTAGCTGCTCACCCAGCTCTTAGCAGACACATGATCTTATGGAGTCACAGTGCTTAAATCCAGAAGTGCCATTTGTGATCACCTAATCTGATCTACTTATTGCAGGCTATTACGTTGTACTGAGCTCAGTAATTTTATGTTTGACTTAAATACATCTTCCGGAATGACATACCATCTTAATTTGAAAATGAGGGATGGGGAATCCATCTCTCCCCTTCACCATGTATTTCGATGATTAATCACTCTTTCTGTTAAAAATGGGCACAGATTTTCTAATTTGAATTTGACTGGTGGCAGCTTCCAACCCTTGCTTCTGTAGTACTCAGAATTTCCTTATTGTGAGTATGCTCACGCATTTTAATGAGGTCACCTCTGAGTCTTGTTTTTAATTCACTAACATGTCAATTTCCTTATTCCTTATGGGATGCGGTATTTCTCCCAGGTCATGAATCATTTTCATAGTTCTTTCTCTTGCTTTCTCAAAGCATTGAACAGTTTTTAAAATATGAATATGAACTGGATACAACGTTCCATTTCTGTGTAGATCAGACAGATATCTTCCACACTCCTTTCAGGAATGTGTTTATCAGTGGACATCTTACCATTGACTGGAACATGTAAACTGGAATATACAGTTACTGTATGAGTGAATTTTTTTATATACAAAGGTTTAGTTGAGTACCCCAATCCCTGAGTAAGAAAAAATTCTTGGTCAATGGCCTTTCAAAAGTCACATTACCATCTGACCTCAGTTTCCATAACCATAAAACTGGATTAAAATCTTGTTAATCCTGATACACCAGGAAAAATTTAAAATTGCTTTCTGTATTACTGTCATGGCAACTCCATTCTTCACCACAACTGGAATTTTCAAATAACTATGCCATCTTTATGTTAAATAATTAATTTTATGCTACAGTCCTTGCTCATCCTGTGGCTTTGCAAAGTAAATTCTTATCCCCTAGAACCACCACAGATATGGGAAAAACCATTATCCCACTACTACAATGATGAGATAGATGACTACTGAGATAAAAAAAGCGCATGTGCTTAAGCATATTAGTAAACCTACTGAATTTTGCAAACTTTTAGCTGACAATTCTCACTTTAGAATCACTGCTGCCATAGTTGATGATTAATAATGCCAACATAATTCATCACTGAATTGAAAATTTGAGCTATCGAGAATGTTTTATTTACTTTCAAAATCATTTCTTTTTAGCATAGAGATACATGGTTTCTCAGAATTGATGGATGCTGCATTCCTTTTGCTGCTCAGTATTCTTATCATCTTTGCAGACAATTGAATTTCTTCCATTTGTAAAATGTATTGCCAGAGGAAGGATTGCAAGTAACACCCAATGACTGGAATTGGAACTGTTCTAGCAATACAGGAATACTTCCCTGATCCATATTAATACCTAGGAAACCCATTAAAAACATTTTTGTTTTTACTCAGCTTTAGGAATTAGAACTTGAGCAATATCATGAAAAAGCTCATATAATCATAGAATACTTAGGGTTGGAAAGGACCTTAAGATCATCTAGTTCCATCCCCCTTGCCATGGGCAGGGACACCTACCACTAAACCATCTCACCCAAGGCTCTGTGCAACCTGGCCTTGAACACTGCCAGGTATGGAGCATTCACAGCCTCCCTGAACAACCCATTCCAATGCCTCACCACCTTCACAGTAAAGAACTTCTTCCTTATATCCAATCTAAACTTCCCCTGTTTAAGTTTTAACCCATTACCCCTTGTCCTATCACTACAGTAACCAATGAAGAGTCCATCCCCGGCATCCTCATAGGTCCCCTTCAGATACTGGAAGGCTGCTATGAGGTCTCCACACAGCCTTCTCTTCTCCAGGCTGAACAGCCCCAACTTTCTCAGCCTATCTTCATACAGGAGGTGCTCCAGTACCCTGATCATCCTCGTGGCCCTCCTCTGGACTTGTTCCAACAGTTCCATGCTCTTTTTATGTTGAGGACACCACAACTGTATACAATACTCCAAGTGAGGTCTCACGAGAGTAGAGGGAAATAAACCTGTTAAATTCATATAACAGATTTCTGCAATATACTTATACTTGGATTAATTTGATTTTTGATTTTAGGAAATTCTCTAAATAAATGTGACCACATTAAATGTCTAAAGGCTGATTAACCATATAGACTGAAGAAAACAATAGCAAGCACAAACTAAAGAGGTATTTTCTTGACTTGATCCCAAAAAATTATCTCCTTTAAAACAGATGTGAAGCAGCATTTGTCAATAATCTAAATGGGACTATTAAATCATCATGATGATAGTAGATGTGAAAATACTGATAAAAATTGTGACTTCCTAAATAATTATTTGCAGAACAACTCAGAGAAAGCAATAGCCCTTTCCAGACTTAAAAATTTCTGAACTGATGACACGCTATTGATTGGAGCATTTACTGCATCTTCTTTAGGTCTAATTAATGAAACTGTTCACAGAATTAAACATAGTACTAGCAGGATGATACTATGCCCTAGTCCTTTGCAAACATCTCCACATTTAAGCATTTTCATGCTCCTGAAGAGGCCTACTGAGGAGCCTACTGGTTGTTCTAGTGAAGTCAGGAAGTGTTTCTCAGTAACCTCAAGCATCTTATGCTTACCTATGTATCAGTATAAAGACACTTATGAGACATATAATTTGCAGGATCTGACAAAACAACAATTTTGATGAAACAACACTGTTAATAATCAGATGCAAAAAATACTTGGTTTGTTTCTTTTATGAGTTAACTTTAAATCATTACTATAGCAATGAAGATGTGGAAAAATAAATTTGCTCTATTTTGCAAATAATAAAAATTTGCATTTTAATATGTTCCAATATAAAAGTATATATCCAGAAAAGGGCAGTCTAACACAACAGAGAACAACAACCTGGAAAACAGCATCTGAAAGGGATCTGTGGAGAAGTGGAGAAGTGGCATAAACTCTTCAGCAGCTACATTAAATCAGGAAAAGCTAATACAGTTTTGAGCACATTAAAAAAAAAAAAAAGAAATGAGAAAAAGTGGAGAGGCAGGTTTTGCCTGTTGAGATCATTTTAGAATAACATGTTCCTGTCTACTACCCTTCTATTAAGATGCTAAAAGAGAGGGATAGAAATGGAAAAAGAAAATCCATAAAGCTCAGGCCTAAGCAAGGAACTTCAGGGGCCAGAAGATATTGGTTTTTCAGTAGAAGGACTGAGAAGACACTGCAAACAAAACCGAAGACGCAAAGAAAATGAGATGGACTCAGAAGGCGGATAAATTAAAATTTAAAACTAGATACAATTTTTCACAAAGATTAGTGAATTTTTCATCTCTCAGTGCCTTCAGATAAAGACTAGGTACTTTTCTTTTA